TGAGATGCTGAGGATTTCCAGGTTTGGTACGTCATCTAGTATAAGCAATGGGGCATCCTTAACTATGATTGAACATCTCAAGCTTAAAACCTTCAAATTTGGAACAAAATTGGCTGTCGTAAAAGCAAAGAGAATGTCAAAAGGACCCATGACCTTTAGTTCACTAAAGTTCTTGCAATTTAGGGCTATTTCCTTTATAAGATAAGGGGAATTTTCTATACTAGGCATTGTCAGAGATTCAAGACATCTCTATGTACGAATGGCCTTGCAGATTATGTCCTTTTTTATTATGTTCCAGGTTGGCATAACAAGTTGCCTCAATCGTGGACATCTGCAGATAACAATATATGGTAGATTACTTCCCAGTTCATTGTGCAAAAATAAATAAATAAATAAATAAAGATGATTATCACTGGTACCAAAGACAATCGAAAAGACTCGGTCAATAAATAGTGAGAATAAAAAAAAATACCTTTCAACAAGGTTTTAAACAGAAACATAAAAAACATTACCTTTCAGCAATATAAATAAATTGTTTGCCCCTACATACAAATTGAAGTAAAGAATCAAGATTCATGAATACCTATTCTGGTTGTTCGCCATGAATACCCATGTAGATTGTTCGCCATGTGGCACATTTTGGAAGATCTAGAATTGCTCAATTTTGACACATTGGACAGTCAAATTGCTCTATCTTGACACACTGGGTTGGTATTTATTTCGTCATCTATAATAATAATAATAATAATAATAATAATAATACAAGTGCATTGCATTGGCATGTAACGCCCACATTGAGGCACGTAACTTTACTTATGCCCTAATTTGGTGGAATTTTGTTAAAGTTATCTTGAACAAGTGTGAAGAAAATTCCCTAAAATTCCATTAGGGGTAAAATAGTCTTTTCAGTCATAATTGGTTGAAAAAATGGGGAGTGGAAAGAAGTAGAATAACATGGGGAAGTTAATAAAAATGAGGCATTATGGTAATTGACTAAGGGACATAGATGACATTTCAGAGAAAGTGCAATGGCAAAATGGGAAACTATAAGTAATATTTTGTTATATTAAGAGTTCAAGAATGAAACCCTAGCCATTCTTCCCCTTCCATTCACGCCACTTTCCACCCAAGTTCTCTCAAATTTCTTCAATCATTTTTCAAGGAAAATTCATAGATCTTAGTTTATTTTTAATTGAATTTCAATCCCAAGCATCCTTAGGTAAGATCCTTGCACTAAGATGTGAGATTTAATTTTTAAAGTGCTGAATTCTTATGATTTGTGTTCATAGGATTTAAGAGAAAGAGAGTTTGATCAAGGAAGACTACTAAACTATTGGATTGCTCACATCTAAGGTAAGTAAAACCAACCCTAGTCATGATTGGAGTAATATTGTGTACAGAACTTCTTTTATGCATGTATGTGCTTATATGGGAAGAATTGTTGATGGAATGGATGTTGAATGATGGTTAGAATTTATCCATGGGAAGTAATGTTTGTGTACTTGATGTTTGATGAGAGTTTGGATGAATTATAGAAGAATTGGAGTAGAATTTATGGAGTGTGAATCCTGGACAGGTTTGACGTCAATCTTGGTGTGTTTTATTCCAAATTTTGGTGGCTTAGAAGATAGGTAGAAGTGTAGCCAAATTAGAGTTGATGTATGCATATAAATTGTTTGATGAAATGTCAAACAGAAGTGCATGTATGAGTATGATTATTTGTTATCTTGAGATGAGTTTGTAGATGGTAGAGAATGACATGTTCACATTCCATATTGCATTATTGCATCCAAACATGTGAATTTAGAAAGAATAATAAGCATGAGCTCATGTACATGCATACATACTCATAAGAGCATTAAAGAGTATTAAATAGCATTAAAGAACAAATAGAAAGAAATGAGAAATATTAAAGAAGTTCAAATCTGAAATTTTATTTAAAGAAGTGTAAAAGATAAAAGAAGAGAAGGTTGTTGCGATGGGGAACCCGTGAGTGACATAGCCTCGCATGCACGCCGCCTTTAGTGAGTGGCCTCAGAATCAGAAAGAAGAATTGTACAATCTGTTAGAAGTGCATGTGGATGAGGACTGTACCCAAAATTAGAGAATACACTCACACGGCCAGGGTTCCAAATCCATGCCTCAACCGAGGCCGATCGGCAAGAAAGAAAGAAAAGAAACAAAGACTAGAAAAGAAAAGAAAAGAAAGAATAGAATAGAAAGAAAAGAATAGAAAGAAAGAAAGAAAGAAAGAATAGAAAGAAAAGAAAGAAAGGCTAGAAAAGAAAACAAAAGAAAGAATATAAAAGAAAGAAAATAATAGAAAGAAAGAAAGAATAGAAAGAAAGGAAGCATAGAAAGAAATACAGAGAAAATAAACAGAAAACATAATAAGAAAAATAGAAAAAACAGAAAAGAAAATGCACATCCTATGCATTTGTGCATTTGCATCATACCTATGCATGATACCATGCCTACTATCATGAGTAGTGAGAAATTAGAATTTGAGAAAGAATAGAGACAGAACAGTGAAGATTAGAGAAGTGTGATGTAAGGAAAGAAATTCAGAATATAAGCAACGGAGAGAGAAGAGTAGCATAGCGGGTTTACTTACTCAGCAATTAGTGCTCACCCCATTGTTTTCAATGTTTTTACAGGCAGTAGATGAGATTGCGGTCGCTTGGAACATCAAGAAGCAGAAGGGTTTGGCAACACTGTCGAGTGATGTTTTATGACTTTATTATATTATGTAAAGATTTGTATATAAAGAAAATTAGTTATGGGCCCATTATTTTATACTCATCTACATGTATATTTTCTTATATATATTTAGTGAGTTTTACTGTTATTTTACGAGTATACTAGCTAGAGAGAGAAAGTATTACATTGTAACGCCCTACCTGAGGTACGTAGCTAATTTCCCTTACTTTTCCCTTGTTTGACTTGGAATATTGTTAATATGGTTTGGTTGCCCTGAAATTGTAGAGACTTGGTGGAATTTTGGGGTCACTGTCTTCGCCGAGGCGAAGAAGAATCGTCGCCGCGGCGATGAGACCCTACAACCACGGTGTAGGTTCTGTGAAGTTTCACTGGGGCGAAGAAATAGTCTTCGCTGCGGCAACGAGCCGAACAAAAAGTTTAATGAAGTTTCTAGAATTCTGCCTTTGGAGCACAATGACCATTCTACCCCTAATTAGCAGGAAAAGTGGGGAGTGAAATGCAAAAAANAAGAAAATAGTGCATCATCCCAAGATCAGACATATCAAACTCAAGCATCATGGATTGCTTAAACTTTTCAAACATGACTCTATCATTTCCAGAATAAATCAGATCATCAACATATAAGCATACCACAAGCAGTTTTCCTCCATTGTCAATTTTTGTGTTAAGAGTATGCTCATTTGGGCATTTTTTTAAAACCTTCCTTACAAAAATAAGAATCTATACGACTATACCAAGCTCTGGGTACTTGTTTTAGTCCATATAGAGCCTTTTTTAGCTTATAAACTTTATGCTCACTACCAAATTTCACATAACCAGGAGGTTGATCAATAAATACCTTTTCATGTAAGTCTCCATGTAAAAATGCCGATTTCACATCCAATTGGAAGATGGGCCATGAGTTTTGAGCTGCCAGAACAATCACCAGTCTGATTGTATCATGTCTTGCAACTGGAGCAAACACTTCTTTATAATCCATGCCAAACTCTTGTTTGTAGCCTTTAGCCACTAAATGCACCTTGTATTTGTCTACCTCACCATTTTTGTTTAGCTTCGTCCTATAAACCCGCTTAACACCAATCGTCTTCTACCCCTTTGAAAGTTCTGTCAACTCCCATGTATGATTCCGTTCAATGGCTGCTATCTCTTCATCGATAGCCTATTGTCACTTGACTTCCTTGGAAGCATCTTCAAACCTAACAGGATCACAATCTGAAAAAATTGTAAAATAAGTAAGTGGGTCCTTATCTTCATCTTGAGGTTGATTAATTCTACTAACTTCATAATCTCATCCATGCTAGCTGTTTTCTGGTTTGTTGAGGTCGTGTGTTGCTGCAACTTTGTTGTTGATTTGTAACTTCAGTTGTTGGATAACTTTCAGCTCCAACTGTTAGTTGTTGCTCCTTGTCATGATCATCACTATCAAAGTCTATTGAAATTTGCTGCATGCCTAGACCTTCACCCTATGGCCAAAAATTTTCTTCATCAAACACCACTTCACGATTGATAATTACTTTCTTAGTGATAGGATTGTACAACTTGTAAGCTTTTGACTGATCACTAACACCAAGAAAGATAGATTTTTCAGCCTTGTGATCAAGCTTTGTTCTCTTCTGATCTGGAATGTGGGTTTAAGCGATGCAACCAAAAATTTTGAAGTAATCAACCATAGGTTTACGGCCATTCCAAGCTTCCTCTGGTGTCATAGTTTGAACAACATGAGTAGGACTTCTATTCAGAACATGAACACTCCAACTAACAGCTTTGGGTCAAAATTCTTTTGGAATGTTGCTTCTCTTTAAGAGGCTTCGCACCATATTCAGAATTGAACGATTTTTCCTTTCTCTCACTCCATTTTGTTGGGGAGAATAGGCTACTGTATGTTGTCATTTTATCCCGTGCAATTCACAAAAATTTACAAACTCGTGAATTGTATTCTCCACCACAATCAGTGCGAAAGACTTTTATTGGCTTTTCAACTTCTTTCTCAACAAAGGCCTTAAAGCTTCTAAAAACCATAAAGGCTTCAGATTTTTCCTACAAAAAATAAACCCAAGTCTTCCGACTAAAATCATCAATGAAAGTTATAAAATAACGTTTACCTCCATTGGATTTTGGATTTATTGGTCCATAAAGGTCAAAATGAACCAATTCCAAAGGTTTCTTGGCTCTCCAAGATTTTCCTTTTGGAAAGCTATCATGAGGTTGTTTCCCAACAGCACACTATTTACAAGTTTTTGTAGGATAATCAAAGTGAGGAAGACCAGCTACCATTTCTTTTACTGTAAAGCCTTTAATCCTCCAAAATTCAGATGCCTATATCGATAATGCCACAGCCATGCCAAATTCATCAATTTTGCCATAAAGCAAGAGTTGCCAATATTCTGAAAATATAGAGGGAACATCCAATTCGCAGTCATGCTAACTTTAGCAACCAATCCATGCTTGGAATCTTGGATTTTGCAGAATCCATCTTTGATAATAACTTCAAATCCCTTCTCTAGAAGTTGACCCACACTAAGTAAATTTGTTTTTAGATTTGGAACAAAAACAACATTAGAGATAGTCTGAACAGATGTGGCCTTAGTTTGGACTTTTACCTTTCCCTTTCCCTTAACAAAAACTAAAGAATTATCTCCAAACTTTATGGTTGTACAAAAAGTTTCATCCAAGTCTGAAAATGTAGACCTGTCTCCACACATATGGTTGTTGCAGCTCGTATCCAGATACCACAAAATTTTGTGGGTTTCTTCCTTGGGATCAGTCACCATTAACAAGGAAACTTCCTCTTCATTCTCATTTGATTCAACCAAGTTAGACCTTTCCCCTCGATGTTTATTTAAATTTGTATGGCATTCTAAGCAATAATGGCCATACCTGTGACAACGGAAGCATTCAACGTTTGATTTGTCTGTTGACTTTGACTTATATTCGGTTGAATTCTGACCATCACATCCCTTCCCTTCTCTTTGAATGTCAACACCTTTATTCTCGCCTTGTCTGTGGTGTTGAATTCTTTCCTCTCTAACCTCCATTTCCACGCCATGATCCTTTTGGATTTGTTGCTACTTGTAACGCTTGCTCTTCTTTATCCTGCTAGTTTATCTTATGCTCATGTACCAGAGAGGAATTTTCAATTCATCTATTGAAAGAGTATCAATATCTTTAGACTCCTCAATAGAACAAATCACAAAATTAAAATTTGATGTTAGGGAATGAAGAATCTTTTCAACAATGGTGACATCTTCAAGCTTCTCCCTATGAATTCGCATCTTGTTTGCAATTGCCATTGTCCTCAAAAAATATTTTGAAACAGACTCTCTTGCCTTCATTTGAAGAACCTCGAACTCTCGACGAAGAGCTTGGCACTACACATGCTTTGCCTTTGTGTTGCCTTGGAACTTCTTCCTCATAGAGTCCCAAATTTGCTTGGAGGTGTCCTTGCAAAGAATTGTTTCCAGAATTTAATGATCAATTGCCTGGAAAAGGTAATTTTTTGCCTTCAAATCCTTCAGCTTTAACGTTTCCAAGCCTATCCTCTACGTATCAGTCAATGTTGTATCGGCTGTTGGTTTTGCTACTCCAGAATCTACCACCTGCCAATACTCTTTGGACCTCAGGAAATTATCTATTAGCATGCTCCAATGGTCATAGTGACCATCAAAACGAGGAATAGCCGGTTGCACAAAGTTTCAGAAGCCATGAACAAATTGCTACTACAATGAAGAAAAAAATGCTTGTTGCTACACATTATTTCTTTCTCGCTTGTCCCTCTCGGTGGCTTTAATACCACTGATGCAAATTTAATTATAAAAATACTTGATATTTTATTCAAACCGAGCTAGCCTTTTAATAGGCAATACAATTCAACAACCTTAGCATAAACATAGGATCACTAACGTGCAAAAAATTAGACCACTTTTTGTTACAATAAAACCTATAGACTAGGTAAATTTAAAACAAACTGAGACATGGACTTCCTAAATACTAGGACTTCAAAACAAACTTTAATTAAATAACTAAATTCCAACAGAAAATGGTACTTGGATTGTTACAGATTTACCACCTGATAAGGAAGCAGTAGGGTTTATAAAATCAAACACAATTTAGATGGAAGTATAGAGAGATATAAGGCCAGGTTAGTTGCTAAAGGGTATCGATTATCAGGAAACATTTTCACCTGTGGTGAAAATGGTAACAGTCAGATCTGTTCTTGCCCTTGCTGCCAGCCAAGGTTGGTATTTGCACGAGTTATATGTCAACAATGTGTTCCTTCATGGAGAATTAGTTGAAGAAGTGTACATGTAGTTACCACAAGGTTTTCATATTACAGATCAGTCTAAGGTGTTACGATTAAATAAATCATTATATGGCCTCAAGCAGGCCTTTCCACAGTGGTTCCAAAAGTTTTCGAGCATACTCATGGATCATGGTTTTCAATAGTCTGATGCAAATCCATCTCTATTCACAATGAAAGATAAAGATATATTTATTATCTTATTGGTGTACGTAGATGACATGGTACTTGCAACTAATGATCCTACTAAGATAAAGTCTTTTACAACTTTTCCTTGGTTTTGAGGTAGCAAGATCTACAAAGGGGATTGTAGTGTGTCAACAAAAGTATGCTTTGAAGTTATTGGAGGAGATTGGGTTGTTAGGAGCAAAACCATCTCACATTCCCATGGATCCTAGTATAAAACTCTCAAACTTTCAAAGAGCTTTGTTTACGAACGTGAGCCAGTACAAGCGTTTAATTGGGAGACTATTATATTTGACTCACACTAGGCTTGATGTAGCCTATAGTGTTCATGTTCTCAGCAAGTTTTTAAACTAGCCAAGAGTTCCTCATTATGAAGTTGCCTTGAAAATTTTGAGATTATCAAAGCTTCTCCTGCAGAGGGTTTAGTTTTCCCCAAAGATTCATCTACTAATCTGAGTGGTTTTTGTGACTCTGATTAGGTTTTTTTGTCTAGACACAAGGAGATCATTTACCGGCCTTTGCATTTTCTTGGGAATGCAATGAAATCATGGAAGGCAAAGAAGCAAACACATGGTGTTACGTTCATCTGCAAAGGTAGAATATAGGGCTCTAAGATCACTGATAGTTGAAATCATCTAGGTTCTGTAGCTTCTTAAGGACTTGGGAGTCAATCATGATCAACCTGTATCAGTCTATAGTGATAGCAAAGCAACTCTCCTTATTGCTGCCAACCTTGTCTATCACAAGAGAACAAAACATATAGAAGTGGATTGCCACTTTGTTCGAAAGATAATGCAACAAAAGATTATAAAACCTTTTCATGTTCCTTCCACTTAGCAACTTGTGGACATCTTCACTAAGCCATTGAATAAGTTATTTTTCACTTCAATGTTATCCAAGATGGGCATTCTCAATATACATTCTCCTGCTTCATCTTGAGGGAGGTTATTAAAATTCCACATCAGTATGTTTGTTAGCGTAAAATACCGATCAATGGGTGTGGTAGATTCATTTCTATTAGTTAGTTTTTCTTTTACTTTTTCCATTCAGCTTATGCTTCTAGTTTAATTAATTTTCATTCTTTTCTCCTTTATGTCAGACTATGTGCTTCTCTCATTTTGTGCAAAGTAGAACTAAATCATTGCCATTTTTCTTCAATATTGTCATCTCTTATAACTTCACTCACCTAGTAAGTGCATTCTATAGAATTAAAATTACATTGCGACAGAGAGGTTGAAGAGATAATGATCCAGCCGGCCTCGATGATGTCAAAATATTAATATATTTAACTTTATATGATTGTATTTATGTTGGGACTCATCACCACGAAGTAAGAGCAAGCCTGATTTTCCATGGAATTTAATACTGTTAGAATATTGAGGTTGTTTGTATCTCTTACTCTCTTTCAAGTCAGTAGAGTAGTTGTATTAGTTGAAGTTTTTTGGTTAAAATGTATGGTGATCCTTATTTTAAGGAACTTTTGTTTCTTTTTGTATGTTGTGCCTTAATTAAGGAATGGTGCGTCAGTTTTTTATATTTTTTGTTAGTCATGTACATTGTATTGACGTATATGTGAATAAAAAAAGCTTCAACTCTCGTCTGTTTTTCTTTTTGTTTTTCTTTCCTCTGTTTCTCTTGATTTGCTTCCTTACTATATAAATGTTTCTTGCTTCATCAGTCTCATTTATTCTTAGCCTTGACAACATGGTATCAGAGCTTTTCTGATCGTAAGGGGTGTGTTCATTCTATAGTTATCAGAGTTTTAACATTCTGTTTTGATCACTAGTTCACTATGGCTTCTTCATCTTCATCTTCATCCATGTCACCACCAGTTTATAACGGTGAACTTTATCATTTATGGGCTGTCAAAATGAAAGCCTACATGAGAGGATTAGACCTATGGCAATATGTGGAGGAGGAGAAACAACCTCCTAGTTTGGGGCCAAATCCAACATTAAATCAGTTAAGATTGCATGAAGAAGAAGTTGCTAAAGCACCTAGAGCTTTATCAATCATTCATCAAGGTGTAACTGATGCAATATTCACTAAGATTGCATGAAGAAGAAGTTGCTAAGGTAGCATGGGAAAGATTGAAAAAAGACTCCTTAGGGAATGAAAGATCAAGGCAGATGAATGTGCTTAATCTAAGGAGAGAGTTTGAAGTTCTTAAAATGAAGGAGGCTAAAACTATCAAGGAAAATGCTGATAGAATTATGAAAGTTGTAAATCAGATAAGGTTAATCGGTGAAACTCTTTCTGATTAGAGGATTGTGGAGAAAATTCTGGTGAGCATTCCCGAGAGGTATGAGGCTAAAATCCCCTCTCTTGAAGACTCTAAAAATTTCTCTAATCTTACCTTGTCTGAAGTGATAAATGTTCTGAAAGCTTAAGACCAAAGGAGAGCTCTAAGGCATGAAGATTTTGCAGAAAGTGCTCTTAATGCTAAGTTAAAGGAGAAAAATTCTATCAACAACTCAATGAAGAAGCAGACTGTTGACAGAAAGGGGGAGATAAAAGTAAATGGCAAGTTGCAAGGTGAAAAGAAAGGCAAGTATGCTCCTTGTCCTCATTGTAAAAAGGAAAGGGCATTCTCCAAATTATTGCTGGTACAGACCTAACGTTAGATGTAGGTCATGTAACCAAGTTGGACACATTGATAAAGTGTGCAAAAATGTAAGTGGAATCCAAGCTCAACAAGCTCAACAAACTCAACAAATTCATTCAACTGAGAAACAAGAAGATGATGGAGAAAATCTTTTTGTTGCAACTTGTTATGCAACTCAGAATAATCAAATCTCCTGGTTAATAGATAGTGGATGTTCAAACCATATGACCTTTGATGCTAACATTTCAAAGACTTAGATGAATCTTATTTGTCCAAAGTGAAAATTGGAAATTGTAATACCCAAGATATCAAAGGTATGTTCCTAACTCAAAATAGTCTTTNGGTGCACTTTTATGGACACTTAATCATATGGTTTTGTATGAAAAGACCATTATACCCTTGGTTACCGTTTATGCCATTTAACCTTATCAATCAACTTTATAACCATTCTACCCTCATTTCTCTTCAATGACATCATCCTTTACACTTTATAACGGCCACATCTCGAAATACATGTAAATTGACCATTTTACCCTTCCATTCAAAAAAAGAAAATTACTTGAAAAGGTAAATTTCATACTTTAGGGCATCGGAATAATAACGTGGTGTTTACACACATATTGTGTCAATGACCCAAGATATTGAGGAGAGAAGTTAATCTCAATCATAAACATACTTGAAGTCGTAGCATCTGACTTCTTCTTGCTTGCGAGGAAAACCTTGCAGTGTTTCTTCCAGTGGCCAGGCTTGCCACAAAAGAAGCAGACTACTTTGCCATTCGCTATGCCACTCTCAGGCCTAAGAGTAACCTGTCTTTTGGGCTTGGGCTTGGGTTTGGCCTTGGCCTTACCTTTGCCATTACCCTTTCCTTTATTTGCAACAACCAGTAAAATAGGCTTGGATTTCTTCAAGTCCTTCTCTACAGTTCGCATGTTCAAAAGCTCCAA